CGTTTGTGTCTCTGCCCCTCCCACAATAGTGACATCCAACCCCCCTCCGCTCCTTCCTTGGTAACAAAGGTGTCATATTTCCGAAGAGTCTGTCTGCAGGAAATATCTGACAGTTGTAATTTCTGCAGTCAGGGTGCCGACACTTTTGCACAAGCCCCATTTTATGTTTCTGTTAACATTCAGCACACAAGTAGCAATTGCATTTAAAATGATACGTTTATGAGTTCAATGAACTGTGTTCACTACTTCTTATGCATAAAATCGACAACCAAACGCCTTCATTAGAGGCGCCTGAACTTCCTCATCCCACCGCCAAGCAGGTAATATCGTTGTAGATATCGCGAACCTTCACGGAGGCACTCCGCCATTCTGCGCGCACAACTTCACTGAACAGCCGCTCTGAAGCTCTCAGAACTCTCTTCAAAGAGCGCCGCAGATATGGCCGCCAATACTTGTACCTTCAGCCCTCTTCTCCTCCAAGACAAAAGTCATTGGAGGAGTGAAATGAAACATATTGTGCGCTCCCGCTCGCTCCCCTCTTCCCTGATGGCGCTTTTATAACTTTCTATTATTCCAGTAAAAGCTGTGCAGACGACAGACCACCAGAGAGGATGAAAAGACCTTTTGAGGTTTTAATGATTAATTAGTTATCTTTTTATTACTCCGGAATGAAGAGACGACGGAGTGTGTTAACCCCCCTCCCGCCCCCCCTGCGCAGTATCTGGAATCTTCCACAGATAAAGGACAATAATCCTCCCACTGTATTCAGATACATCGTTAAATTACTAACGAGTGAGGCCTGCAAGTTGGCTTCTGTGGGACGATGAGGAAAAACGTCGTGACGGTGGTCCTCCGATGCAGATGGACTTCCAATTTCTACAAAAAGCAATTGGCCTGTTTGGGAACATTTTGCCACTACAGCAAAGCCCGGGTAGCCTAGTGCTGCCTGTCCTTCAATTCCATGCAGTGAGCGCACAGTGAGCGCCAGTCCGCAGCAGGATTGTGTGATGATGTAACAAATTTTAGCATGACCACCAAGTGATATCAAGTAATTTATAAGTGTCCACGCAATGTGTGATCGTTTTTTGATTTAATGGTAAATGACTGTACACACAGCTGGGCGCACTCTTTGCCAGAAGACCCTGTACTGTCAGACTAACAGGCAAACTAACATTTTCCCCATCTGACCACCGGGGGCGCTCTGCCACCAGTTTACAAGGAACGAGATCTGATATCTGATATATAAAGACAACCAACTTAGTCAAAATTATTTCTTTTTTATATTCTTTTGGAAATAATTTGCTATATTATAACTTACTAAATCATAACATTTACAGCTTCCCACTACTCTCCTGATAGTATTATAATAATAATAATAATGACAGCGTGTAGACTGATGTGGATAGCTTAGTGTTCTCTATATAGCACTGCGGAATATATCAGAGCTATATAAATGTATAATAATAGTAGTGCGTATCTGTGGTGGGACATTAGAGTGTAAGCTCCTCTGGTGCAGAGACGGATGTGACTGGCTCAGTGTTCTCTGTACAGCACTACCTAATATGTCAGAGCTATGTAAATGTATAATAATAGTAGTGCGTATCTGTGGTGGGACATTAGAGTGTAAGCTCCTCTGGTGCAGAGACGCATGTATATGGCTCAGTGTTCTCTGTATAGCACTACAGTATATGTCAGAGCTATATAAATGTATATTGGTGTGTGACTGTGGTGGGATATTAGAGTGTAAGCTCCTCTGGTGTAGAGACTGATGTGACTTGATTAGTGTTCTTTGTACATGTCAGTGCTATTTAAAATGTATAATGACAACATTGTGCGACTGTGGTGGAGACATTAGAGTGTAAGCTCCTCTGGGGCAGACAGATGTGACTCGCTCTGTGTTCCTTGTACAGCGCTGCAGGATATTTCAGAGCTATATAAATGTATAATAATAATAAAAGTGTGCGTCTGTAGTGTGCATCTTTCTCAATAAGAGAAAAAAATATTTAAGTGTATTAAGTGTTTAAGGGTATTGCTCCATATTTCTAATCACACGGAACAGTATTATAATACAAGATGTAAGAAACCCACTAAAACAATAAATAAAAACTGATTAAAAATAACCAACTAAAGATTTTCAGCAACGGCAATCATTCCGTCATCATTTATTGTACATATATACTCATACTAAACGTGTTTATTATTGCAGTTGCTGCTGACCTATAATAAGTTGAAATCTGAAGGTAGGAGGACCCCCTAAAACCTCTGATGGGTCTCAGCAGCCCTGACCTGAAAGAGTCAATACGAATCCACAGTGTAACTAAAGTCCTGGGAGGAAATAAAATGAATGCGGTGACTGCCCGTGTGCTCGAAGTTATTGCCGGGCTGCCGCTTATATCTTTACATTGCTGTCATTAGAAAAATAAAATTAAATCATTCTCGAGGCCTGCGCGCTCGCACATAATCAGTCTCTGGCTTGCGTGGGCTCTCATTAGTTGGAACTTATGGCACGGTGACAAACGAGGCACAGCGACAGGGCCACGACGTATTTTACTGACCATCTGTGAAAATAGGTCCTCTTGCCCATTGGAGGCACACAGCTGTAAACGTATACACGAGCGAGAGGGCGGTGAGGAAAGCCAGCCTTCGACTCAAGGAAACGTCTCGAATGGTACGCAGCGGCGGCGTTCATCGTTTGTACAAGGGAAGGGAGACTAGTGGGAATCGGGGTCCATCTTGCGCACACCTCCGCAGATGGAGTCCTCTGGCAGTCGCCCAAATGGTTAAAATTAGATGAAAACAAAGCGTTGGGCTTCAGACTGTCAGGAGAATCGAGAATAAAAAAAAACAAAACACAATCCTATGCTGTTCTACTTCTCTTCAAGCCGAATGATGGAGAAATATCAACGCTGACAAATGTTTTATGAAGCCTGAGAAGAGGAGAATGAGAAAATATGGACTGCCCAGAGACCAAATATACAATAAAAGTGAATATAAAGATATTTGGTATTTACAGAACACCTGATGGGGTCAGGGAACGCTCGGAAGACTCTCCAGACCATTGCAAAAAATACGCAGCATGGTGTCAGATGAGGATGATGAAATGGTGCCGCCAGGTGCAGGAAACACGTCTATTGTATACACGTGTTTATCCTAAATTAGCCAAAAAAGTTTTAATTTAATTTATTAGGAAACAGCCAAAAATTCCGGTTCTACAGATGACTTTTTCTGTCACTTTAAATCTGCTGTGATTATGAAGTGATCTCTTCACAAAAAATTCTTGTGGCTTCTCTTAAGACAAATAATTTTTAAAGTGGGTGGACATCATGTTCAGTAGTGTGTCAGTCTAACAAACAGGTATTTATTACCTCTCACAGAGATCACAGTATTCCCAATACTAAATAGGAATATGGAGTGCTTCCTGAGTCTGGGGGCTATATGGATATACTGAGCACTCCCTGAGT